TGTTCCGTCGACTAATTCCAGGCTCAGACATAATTAGGTAAACCTTGTTATCCCCCACTTTGTAGTTAATCTCCTTTTAGTTCCTTTTTTTTTTCCTATTTGTTTTCTTGCATTTTGCGCGATTAGGATTTGAGGGAGAATTAGAGGGTTGACGGAACTCGGTGAAACTGGTTCTATAAGCTCTCGGTGCCTACCCAAACCTGTCGTTCTTGTTCTCTCTCGAGATTTTGGTTGCCTCTGTTGTTTTCTGCAATTGATCTTCTTCCCTTATGATTACAGTTGCTAGCCTGCCTCTGTTTGTTGGTTTTAGTTTTCTTTCTTCTTGAGGATTAGAATGTGTTGATGGAGAAGTTTAATTCATTTTAATTACACATCTTATAATCGTATAGCCTGGCTTGCTGAAATTGCAACTGTTTTTTTTTTTTTTTTGTGTTTAGGAGGAGCTACACAAGACGGGGTAGCTCGGCCCAAGTGTCACAAGAAAAAACACGAATAGAACTTAAATCCCTAGGGATAGAGGGAGAGCAAAAACTGAGAGTGATGAGAGGAAAAGAAAGAGGTTGGTTTGCCATCGGTCCGTAGCTTGATTGGCCTCTCTATAAACGTGGTTGTGGGTGACTCTACATTCCAAATCTCTAGCCAGCTTCAAACACTCCTGGATTCAATCTCCACGAGCAGTCTACTTTGTTCTTTAAACATGAAATCACAAGAAGAGACTCTCCCTTAATGAAGATGGGGAGATCCCTATAGTTAAAAGCAATGTTATGGGTCTCCCACGCAGCCCAAGCCTCCGTTACATTAATTGAGGAATTCCTGATAAAATAAGATTTGGTCTCAAGAACACTCCCCTATTGATTTCTTGCAATGCAGCCAATTGTGCAATCACCTTTATCATTTCTAAATGCATCAAAGTTTATTTTGATAGAATTCCCTTTTGGAGCTTTCCATTTGATTGGCTTCCAATATTTAGTCCGAATAGTATTGGAGTTAGAACAATTGTTAACATTGTGATTAAAATATAGAGACAAAGCTCTATCAATAAATAATGACTGAAGGGTGGCAACAATGGTTATGGAAGGTTTTTCATTTCTATTCTTCCAAATCTGCCACAAGATAAAACAGGATTTCACAAGGATCGTAGAATCAGTCTGATTGGAAAGTAAGTCATCCTCCCTAGAATCAGTCATTTTCATTGGAGTATCTTAATATTTGGGTTTAAGATACTCCCTATTTGTTTAGCAATAGTACAACTTTTAAAGATATGATCTGTCTTCAATTCCATCGCAAAAGCTGCAACCAACATCAATGGAGAGACTTAAAGACCTCAAGAAGGTTTTAGAAGGTGGCCTAGAATTAAGCAACAGGTATAAAAAAAAGTTTTGATTTTAAGCCCCCAAATCTTGTTGACCTGAAGGTTAAGATCACTCTGATCCTTATGCATGATAATAGCTTCTTTGTAGGCCGATTTAACAGTAAAATGTCCTTTGGGATTCAACCTCCAAATCATTTGAGTCAGAGGGGATAAAGATGGTTCTAATGCCATTCCAAATATTGAGGGGAACTAAGTTACAAATCTTATTTTCCTCCTAAATATGTCTTCATGATTAATAACACCACTCACTAGCAACTCCTCATGCTCAATTTCAACCCTTGAAGGGTCTTTATTCAATATTCCTTCAATTGGAGTCGAGTACAACCAGTTTATCTTTCCAAAACTTAATATTTTTTTCCACTGCCAACAATCCAACCCATACCTCTTTTGAGTAAGTCTTTGGAGTTCAAAACTCCCTTCCAAGCCCAAGAAATTCCATTTTTAGGTTTAGTATTCCAAAAAGATTCATTTCAAATAGATGAGGATGTTATAGTTCAGACGATGGTCAATAGATCAAATCAGGGGGGAAGGGAAAGTGTCAATTACTAAGAGTAGTCCAGTTATAATATATATATATATATATATATATAATAAATTGATTAAAAGATTAAAATAAATAAATAATAAGGTGGAAAAAAAAATTGATAAACAAGAAAAATAATAAAATAATGGGGAGGTTTTCTTTCATGTTGGTTTACTTTTTGGTATGCTTTATTATTATTTTGCTCGATTAATTGCAATTCTTTTAATTATGCTTGTTTGAGTTTCTATGTGGGCCCCACCTATTGGACCTAGGAGAGGGGTGCCTAATCCCTTCCCTCTCCCATCCGAGTCTTTCTCGGACTGGTGTAGTCAGTGCCTTGGGTTTTGGAGTCATTATCGAACCAAAATAGTTTTGATGCCATTCTCGGAGGTCTCATCACCTCCATTTCGATAATTGATGGGTGACAACTCCATTTCTGTCTAAGTGAGCTGTTTTCCTGACTTTCACATGTGATGAGGCAGAATGATGAGAATAATTGGCTAGGAAAGACAAATTAACCCAATAAAAAGGAAAAAAACAAATAAATAAATAAATAAACTTAGTAAAGTTATAAAGTGGATAGGCTATTTCGGTGGGTTTAGAGATACGTAGGTGACAAAGGAGAAACAAGCTATTGAAAGGGAAACACTAATAAAAAATTGAAATAAAAATAATAAAAAAGATAAAAACATAAACAGTAAAATAGAAAATAAAAAAATAAAAAAATCATAATAAATATTGTATTTTTATAAAATCAATATGTAGATAGGGATCCATAAGAGAATAACAAAAAAAAAATAAATAGTTAATAAAATTAAGTAAAAATGACAATAAAAAAATGTAAAAATAATAACAATAAATCAAAAACAAAAAGACAATAATAAATAAAAATTGCTAAATATATTTTTGTATTGGCTTGTTCTTGTAACTAGTCAATGACCCCGTACGGGGAATTAGTAATATTAAATTTATATTATAGAATCAATTCTGTTAAATTTATATTTATTAATATTTTAAATAATTATTAAAATTTCAAGAAAAAATAGTTTCTCAATAACTATTAGAATACTGATAGTTTTCGTTTGTTATGATACATAGAGGGTTAAGGATTAGTTGAGATTTATAGAATGTAGGGGCATTTTTTGCATTTTTTTAGGAATGAATTGAAAATGGTGGTAGTGGATTGTGGGCTTTAGCAACAACTTCTCAGAAAATGCCATGTGTTTAGCTTTTTAGAAAAATGAGAATGCCATGTATTTGGATGGTGGGGAGTTGTAGCTTGATAGTGGGTTGTGGGCTTTAGTAGGAATTTCTCAAAAATTGCCACATGTCTATCTTTCTAGAAAATGAGAAGGCCACTTGTCTAAATGGTGGTAGTGGACTATGGGCTTTAACAACTTCTCAGAAAATGCCATGTGTCTAAATTTGAAAAAGCCACATGTTTGAATGACCCCGTTCTAAGTACAGGAATCAATAATTTTAAATTTACATTATGGAGTCAATAATGTTAAATTTATATTTATTAATATTTTAAATAATTATTAAAATTTGAAAAAGTATTTATTTCAAAAAATAACTTTTCAATAATTATTAGAATATGGATAGTTTTCTTTTGTCATGATATGTAGAGGGTTAATGATTAATTTAGATTGATAGAATGTAAGCAGAAGTGGTTATGGATAACCACTTTTTGCATTTTCTGCATTTTTTAGGAATTGATTGAAAATGTTGGTAGTGGGTTGTGGGCTTTAGCAACAATTTCTCAAAAAATGCCATGTGTCTAGCTTTCAAAAAAATGAGAAGGCCAAATGTCTAAATGGTGGGGGGTTGTAGCCTCGTAGTGGGTTGTGGGTTTTAATAGGAATTTTTTAGAAAATTGCCATGTATCTAGCTTTCTAGAAAATGAGAAGGTCACTTGTCTGACTGTTGGTAGTGGGTTGTGGGCTTTCACAGCAACTTCTCAGACAATGCCATGTGTCTAAATTGAAAAAGCCACGTGTTTGAATGGTGGGTGACTATAGCCTAAAAACCTTTCTTTATATAAATTTGCTCTTTCTTCACTTTAAATAATTGTTTATTTGTGTTTTAAGTTCCCATGTGGGCCTTACCTATTAAACCTGAGAGAAGGGGTTGAGATCACATCTCTGCCCCACTGCGTGTCGCCCCACAAATGCCCCACACAACGTGTAACTACCACATGTCCAGTTGCATGTGGTGGGGTGTTCCTATGTGCAGGGCTAACGGGACAGCCGTTAGCTCATCCCGTTAGCCCCAAAACGAGCTCAAACCTTCTTTCTCCCATATTCCCGCCCCCTCAACCTCAAATCAACATTTTAAAAAACAACTCGGAAATTGAACTGTTTTGGCCATCGTTTTCTAGGTCGACAGTTCGATAGTCCAGTTTGAACAAAAGGGTTGCTCTGACAAATAAATTAAAAAAATAAAAAATGGTCAAAATCCATTGAACGGGTCGACCGCCCAGGTCAACGGAACCAATTGCCTAGATAGTTCCTGGGCCGAATAGTCCGACCGTCTGGGTCAATAGCGGTTCGGTAATCTTGCCTTAAATGGTGTCTTGACCCCATTCTACTCCCCTCCGCCCAAGTTCAGATCAAGCTCCATTTCCGGCAACAGTGATCGCTCTAACCAGTTCATCGTTACCATGTACACCCCAACCCTTGCTAGTGTCAGAGATGGAGTTGGTTCCAAGCTTGGGTGGAGGAGAGTAGAACAGTGTCAGACATGATTTGAGGTTCAGGGGGCAGGAATAGGGAAGCAAGGTTTTCGAACTGCCATTGACCTAAACGGTCAGACCATTCAACCCGGGAACCATCAAGGCAACAAGTTCCATTTTACCCCAAACCCGGTATTTGGCCAAAAACCGCTAAAAAAGTCAACAACCCGTTGACCCGGACAGTTGAACCATCGACCTATTTAACAATTTTTTACCATTTTTTACTTTTAATTATTTTTTATTTTTTCAATTTATTTATCAGAATTGGCCATCCATTCAAACTGGACGGTTGGACTGTCAACTTGGAGGCCGGTGGCCAAGTCAATTTTGTTTTCAGGTCATTTTTTAAAACGTTGTATGAGAGAAAAGAAGTTTGGGCTCGTTAGCTCATCCCTTTAGCCCCACACG